CCCCACAGCATAATAAATTGACAGATGCAATGGAGTTTCCGAGTAGCACTCTTACGTCTTGGGAAGACAAATAACCCACAAAATAAAGAGGAGATCAACACAGTCCATTATTTTCTTCAGATGGGAAGAAACCAAGATAAATGGTAATGATAAATACAAATATTATTGCCAACATTTCCAGAGCACTTACCACATACTCGATATTGCGATAAGCACTTTTAATTGATTTTCTCATTTAGTCTTCATAACATCCACAGGAGATAGGTACGATTATTGTGCTCATTTTACCTCTCAATAAATAGGCTGAGAGAAGTTGAATAATTTCCTCAATGGCACACAGCTAGCATGGCAGAGTCAGAGCTTTGAGATTACAGTGTCAAAGGAGGTTCTTACTGGGAGTCAGGGTAGCTCAGGGGAGAAGACCTTGGTATAAGCCCTGACCAGAAAAGCTGTGTCAGAAGACAGTTCTGGGATAATTCCCTTTCTTTCCTAGTTAGAGACTTGAGAGGCACCCATTGCTCTTTACATTGGGCTTCTGTTCTCAGGTACTTTCCCGTGACCTGTTAATTTGGATGGTTAGTGGAGCTGAGGGCGGAGGGAGGGGGTGTACGCTCCCACAAATGGTTTATGTCTTTGCTGCAATCAATTCTATTTCCAAACCATGCTCTCACAGAGGCAGGGTGAGAGACCGTAGAGAGGATCATGCAAGGTTAGAGAGGATGCTGGGGAACAGCCCACATGTATTGCTCGGCTGTAACTGTTAGCCAAGCAATGAACATTCCTTCAGAAGTTTAATCACTGTTCAGGGTGGGGAATAAATAAAGCATCATCCAAACCCACCAACCTCCCCCCTACAGCCCCTTCTAGCCTAACATCATATCAACGGATGCAGACACAAGAATATGGCATAGAGTTCTATAGTTTTTTCATGCAAAGTCAAAAAAGAAAAAAATGCTATGAATTTAGGAATTGTCATTCAAAAGAACAATATGTCTATTTGGCTGTGATTATTACTGCTTATCAAAGGATAAGCTTTAGGCAAAACAAATTGCAGGTCATTTCAGTTCTAGCCACTCAAATAATGCACTCTGTCATCATGAAATGGCGTTTTTTAAAACTGAGGGCAGTAGTGATCAGGTGTCAGGGGCTCAGATTCTTGTACAGCCCATGTAGAGATGCGTTTGTCCTGACAACGTTGGGCCTCTCGTTTTCATTGCTCAAGCGAGGCAGCCTCCTCACTGACAAGGACGTGGACCCCAAGTGCTATGTCAATCCCAGGAGTGACAGGTAGATGGCAGCATCTGGCTATTCAGGGTTGTCGAGCGATCTCCACTTCCTCCCCCCCTCCCCCAACCCTTCGTTTATTAAATGGAGCTAAAGAGGTCCCAGCTCCAGGCAGGCTGTTGTTGTCTCTACGTGTGTGCAACGTGCGTGTAACTCAACCGGGTCCTGCACCGTCCTCACAGTCCTTACTGTGTTTTGAGTCCTTTGTTTCAACCAGTGTCCATCAATCTCAAGGTCTTCCTCTTTCCCACTGACCTTCCACCAAGCACGATGGCTGTCTCCAGGGACTGGACCCTCCTGATAACCTGCCCAAAGTAAATCAGAGAAGCCTCCCCATCCTGGCTTCTAAGCAGCAGCCTCGCTGTATTTCTTCCAAGTGAGGTTTGTTTGTTGTGCTGGCAATCCATGGAAAATTCATTGGCAACATAATTCAAATACGTCATCATCTCCCGGCCCCCCGCGGTCCGCCCCGCCCCCCACTTCCCCCGTTTTCCTTGTTCATTGGTAAGCTTTCACGTGCGTGTGAGGTGCTTGCCGTGCACACCCCTTAGTGACATTTTTTCTTTTTAACACTTTTGAAGATCATTTGCCTGGTGCAATACATTGTTTAATTTCTAGACTGTTGTTTCCACGGGCATTGTGAATCCAGGTCACATGAAATCTTTTGACAAGTTCGATTTTTTCATTGCTAAGGATGATGTTGCTAAAGAATCCAGTTGCGAGGACTTTTGTTGTCTTTATATTTGGGTATAACCCATGCTGAAGACTGTAGTCTTTGACCTTCATCCCTACGTGCTACAAGTCCTCTTCCTATTGAGCGAGCAAGCCTGTGTAATTTGCATACTGAAGGTTGTTCTTAAATCTTCCCTGAATCCAGATGCTACCTTCTTCATCTTCTCCATGTGGTCCAGCTTCTCAATTGCTTGCTCAGACTACAGGTGGAATAAAGATGACAAGAGGGTACCATCCGGATGGATACACACTTTTGCTGATGTTAAACCATGGAGTAGCCCCTTGTGCCGTTGCAACAACTGCTTTTGGATCTATGGATAGGTTTCTCAGGAGCACAATGAAGTGTCCTGGAATCTCCATTCTTAGAATTTTATCCATAATATGTTATGATCCACACTGCTGAGTGCCATTACATAGCCAAGAAAACTTAAGTAAACATCTTCCGGACATTTTCTGCTTTCAGTCAAGAACATAACTGAGCATAAATGTGTTCAATAACCTGACTATTTGGGAGTGGAACAAGAAGGGTAGTAAAACATAATGGAAAAAGCATGACCTTTGAAGAGTTTCAGGGAGCAAACAAGACCCCAAATCTCAAATATGGTGTCAGGAGAATACTTAGTAAGTCATAAGTGGACAAAAAGAAGCAAAGACACATCATCCGGATGGGGCTACGGAAGCAGGAACAGGGCCACGATTAGGGTGTGTACATGATGTTAGATAGGAGACCCTGGGCCAGGGCCTTCAGACCAAGGCATGACTCACGACTTTGCAACCCCCAGTCCTGTCTACCAAGGACACAGCCAGGCAAGCCCCTAGGGGAGACTGCTCTTCCCAGGGCCAATTGGAGAGAAAGTAGAGATCGTCTACTTTCTAATGCACTCTGCCTGAAGGCAAGCCCATCCCTCTATTTGATTGATGATCAGAAGGAATTCAATGGAGGCTTAGTCTATGGGAGCAATCTGCAAATGGATTTTGGGTTTTCCTTGTCATCCATACCCTTCTGCAAATGGGGGGCTGAGAATTTAATATCTAACCAGGAGTCAGATTGGCCTGGATACCTTTCTTCCATTAGTTAAGAAAAGCAATGACCAAGGGCTCAAATAGAGAGTAAATGTTTAGAAAATAGTGATGGCAACATATGTACAAATATGCTTGATACAATTGATGTATGGATTGTTATAAGAGCTGTAAGAGCCCCCAATAAAATGACCTTTTAATTAAAGATGAAATAAAATTAGAAAAGCAATGAGTGTTCTGAAAACACATAACAGTGCCTTCTGAAATAACTGTTCTTAAGCCTATGTTAATTTTATGTTAATTATGTACTGCCCAGAGTGGGCAGCACAATGATCTAACAAAGTGGTTCTCAACCTGTGGGTCATGACCCCTTTGGGGGTCGAATGACCCAATTCACAACAGTAGCAAAATTACAGTTATGATGTAGCAACGAAAATAAATTTAAGGTTGAGGGGTGGCATTGTCACCACAGCATGACAATATTAAAGGGTCTCGGCATTTAGGAAGGTTGAGAACCACTGTTAGATTCTAACAAGTAGAGAAGATGGATGACTATCAACACATAATCTCACTTGTGATGCAATTTACCTTCTATTCCTGGCCCTGGTCCTCTGTCCACACTCCGCTGCCTTTTCCTTCCCTCCTGCGCCTTGCTGGCTCTTGTCAAAGCTAAAGTATTGCACCAGATAATATTAAAACAGGCAAAGACCACTTTACCCAAAAGGATTACTATGAGAGATGGGGGATGGAATGAGAAAACAAGGGAAGCAGCCCTTCAGCATGGCATTGGGGAGAAGCCAGCCCCTCACCAAGGTGGAGCAAGACTGTGAGGGGTTAAAAAGAAAGTTAAGGGGTGTTGACTGCTAGGTTGGATGAATGATTTACTAAGGTTGTCAGTTAGGGCCATTTTCCTTGTAATGTTTTCTTTCCCGATGATAAGGCCGCAGGGGTGCTAGCAGACAGGGTAAGAGGGGAGGGTGAGAGCCTCCTAGGGCACAGGTCTTAAGGAGAGAGGAAGTTTGGGAAGAAAGGAAAGCCTGGTCTAATGTTTCAATGACACGAAGGAGACCGTGGCGTCCACTGTTTGGAGCAAGCCACTCTCTGGTCTGGAACAAACAGGTGGGAGGATTGCTTGGTGGTTGTTCTCCAAGACCTCGGGATTCCAGTACAATTTCTTTTTGTCGTTCTCCAGGCCTCTCGACGGCCATGATGACTCCACAGAGGATCTGTTCATTGATTCTGCTCTTGGTGCTAACCCTGCTGGGGCTGGGGCTGGTGCAGCCCTCCTCTGGCCAGGATTTCATGTACCAGCGGTTCCTGCGGCAACACGTGGATCCGGAGGGCGCAGGGGGCAGTAATGCCTACTGCAACATTATGATGCAAAGACGGAAGATGACTTCGTACCAGTGCAAGCGCGTCAACACCTTCATCCATGAAAACATCTGGAACATTCGTAGTATCTGCAGTACCCCTAGGGTCCAGTGCAAGAACGGCCTGATGAACTGCCATGAGGGTGTAGTGAGGGTCACAGACTGCAGGGAGACAGGAGATTCCAGGGCGCCTAACTGCAGATATCGGGCCACAGCCAGCATAAGGCGTGTTGTCGTTGCCTGTGAGGGTCACCCCGAGGTGCCTGTGCACTTTGATAAATAGATGCCACCCTGCAGTAGTTACAGCACAGCATTTGACCTTCAAATGACTCCTTGAATGGTAATGAGCCATGCATCTCTGTTGTCCCAGTTCTAACTCCTGGGCTTGATTCTTACTGTGTTCTTTGTATAACCCATTCCACTGAATGCATTCCATGGAAGAGAGATGCAGACATAAAGCTGCCACAAGCCTGGTCTTTTCTATAACAAGCTATTATCATGCTGCCAAGCATAATGCTCTTAGAGCCTCTACTCTGGAAGTTCGTCACTATACATATTGATATAGAAGTTCAAACTTTTCCAAGTGCTTTCATCTCTATTATCTCATTTTCATCACACAGCACCCCTATGATGCTGGTGATGCCATTATATCTGGAAGTCAGAAGTTAAGGGATCTCATGAGCTCCATAAAGTTATAGCATCATGAATTGGAACTGACTTGATAGCACCTAACAACAACAACAACAACAACAACAACAACAACAAAACGTGCATGGGAGAGCTGAGACAAAAGCCCATTTTGGCTGGCTACTCATCCAGGACTTTTCCCATCCATTCCCAAGCAGCGTTTATTATTATTTTTAAGATATCTGCTTTTTGTCATCCCCCAAAGAGTCAGCGATTGAGGGCAGCTTTCAAAAAATTGGAAACATATAGCGGCCACATGCGAGTTTGGCCCATGAAATTCAGCAGCGTTCTGACATTTGGGTCTGATAAGATACAAACTCAGTACAAGGGATTTTTTTTTCTTCACCCAAGCTTTTGAATCGCCCTGGCAAGTCAGTGGATCGAAAGCACGCTGGGTCCCTGTTGCTGATGGAAAGGCTGTGCATGTTTTTCCTGGAATAAAGGACTTACACTGCAGGTGTCTGAGAAGACTACTATGGTTCTTGAGTGTGGAATAATTTCTTCCCTTTTAGCTCTTGCATTTCCAAACACACCCATTTCCCACCAACCTCATCAAAAATAATGCTTATCGGATCCAGGACCACATACAAAATAACAAAATCTCACTGCCATCAAGTTGATTTTGACTTACGGTTCAAAAGACTAGTTCAAAGACATTTGCTATGACATCATCATCATCATCATCATCATCATCATCATCATCATCATCTGTGCAGGGCAACCTGAGTCTTCCTCTTGCTCTGCTTCTAGCAGCAGCGAAGAGGGATGAGATTAGACGGTTGCATATCTGAATGTTTTAAGAATCAGACAGGAACAGTGCAACCTTCACATTTCCTCCCCTCCCTCCCACTGGTGCGATTAGACACATAGGGCCACGCTTCATGTTCTGTCTTCGTTGCCTGGTGCTTCTATAACAACAACCACGACAACGACAATAATACCAGAGAAGGCGACTGTAAGAACATAGCATGACAAAAACATAAAGAACATGATAGGACACAATAACACCTCTCTTCCCCAAACAGGGTCAAATTCACAAGTGCGGGAGGTAGGATTTCGATGTTATTTTCTGAGGGATGCAATTCAATAGCCATCGTATATTTTCTCACGGTCACCTTTCAAGCCACCCAAACCCAGGAGCTCAGAAGTCCTCCAGGTTTCCTCTCCACCGAGCAGAGAGCAGGAGAATTTGCAGTGTGGTCTGAGACACCCCCTTCCAGCCTATGAGCACATAAGACCCCTTTTCCTGTTATTCAAAAGAGAATGCCTGACAGGAGTGGAGATTTCAAATGCAGCAGAGTTTCTGTAAATGCCAGCATGTCTTTGATCTAACTACAATGACTTCTAACCCAGCCAAAGAGAAGATCAGAAGTCTACCAAACAGGCTGGCATCGATGACATGCTGTGAAGCGAAATTCTGGATAAAAGTAGAACTTTCTGAAAGCCAAGTGGCCCAGTGAAAACCCTAGCCAAGGTAGCTTAACTAGGAGCAGCCCTTGCAAGTGTTGGTAGAAACATTCCAGTATCTCATTTTATCCTTAAATTATACCTTACCTTTGACTAGATACTTTTTCTTCCCTCAGAGAGTCCCACAGTTCACAACTCCAGAAATTGCTAGCCATCTAGAACTTTCCCCCAGAATTTTGTCAGGAAGTGAGATTTAGTAACCAGATTCTCCCCTAATAAGTGCAGACAAATCCTCCCCAGGGTCTCCGCACTCCTTCATGCCCAGAAGCCAATCTTTGATGTCGAACATCTTTGCTTCAGGCTATTATCAGAGAGAACAAGTGTTCTACCTGAGAAGACAGAGGTTCACAAAGCAAGCCTGTTCTTCCACTCCCCACACCCGCACACCAATCAGCTAGACTCTGGGCTTCCACACAGCTCCTTTCTCCGCCACTTCAGACATCTTGGGCTCAAAGGAGAAGAAGCAAACTCAGCCACGACTCATCACGTCGCTGTACTATCTCTGCGCCCACCACTGACTTGACCATTGACTCTGAAGAGGGTAAGTTAGAAAAGTTGATGCAAAAGATGTGTGAAGGAAAAGACTTAGGAATATTGGAAGAACCCAGAGCCTTGGCTGGAACTTTTAGATGGTGGCTTTTTAGAAGGGAAAATGATTTAGTTGGTAGGAAGCAAAGGCCTGAATTCCACCCAGAATTAACCTCATGGAAGCAGCTTGCATTCTGTTCTTATCCTGTTTGGGGCCTTATGGCCAGGGCCAGGGTTCCACCAGTCACAGTGTCTAGCACTGGTTTGGGTTCAGATATAGTCCTGGATGCCCCAGAAGTGTTCTCATATCTGCATATCTCATTATATTTTTCACGGGTCCCCGAGGGAGCTATGAGTAGGCCTATTTGAGGATATGGGCACTCAAAGAGTTGAGAATCAGGTTAGAAGTGCCTTAGAGCCAGTCCATTCGGGACAGTAGAGGAGCACAGAGGAGCTGATTCAAGAGGGAGGCTTTGAAAAATATAGTTTTATTGAGATATAATCCATATAGCATACACTTCCAAAGTTCAATCAGAGTAGGTAGAATTGCATAAACATCACTATAATCAGTTCAAAAACATTTCCTTCCTTCATGTGCTAATTATTTGCTCCCCATTTCCCTCCCACCTCTCTCCTTTCCCTCCCACCCCTCCCACCTCTCTCCTTTCCCTCCCACCCCTCCCACCTCTCTCCTTTCCCTCCCTACCCCATCCTCATCCTCAGCAAACCTTCACAGAAGGAACTGCCTCTATATTCACCTACCCTGGAAAATATACCCCAAACAAAACAAAACACCATCATATCTATATCTGTAAATGAAAGAAAAGACCAACAATATTAAAATAAACCAGAGGAAAAAAACTTCAATCAAGAAAAAACTTTGAGAAAAAAGCAAGAAATAATAAAAACTAGAACAAATTTAATATGGGTCAAAAGGAGATCAAATGATCAAGTATGTCATGCTACTTATTTACAACTGCTATTACCACATTTACAAGACTGTCTGACAGCAAGGCTATTCACAACCTTTAACTTGGTCAGAGGGGATTCACCAGAGGCTTAATCCATGCAGGGACCCTGTAAATAGGTTTTGGGTTCCCATTGTCATCCAGAGCTTTCTACAAATTGGGAATTTACCAGTTAAGCTCTGGTACCAGGGGGAGACTTTTTAAAATGAATCTGTCACTGAAACTTTGACCCAGTAGCTCCTGTGAGGGCAGTCTCCAGGCCCGCACTTGATGGGTCAGAGGGATGTTGCAGATCTTGGATGATGGCGTTCCCATGGATAGCTCAGACAAATCCAGACCATTTGTAATGATGATAACTAGAGAAGTGGGCGCTGAGAAGGGATGGGAGGCCTTAGAAGTGCTGTTGTTGCCTCCCCCCCTCCCCAGTGCTTTGGAGAAGTGCTGCGAGGGAGGTGGAGCTGGGCGAGCACAATCAGGGCCACTGTAAACTGGGCCGTGATTTCAGGGAATCCCCTTCTGCCCAGAAAATATGTGCCAAGATAGGAGAGACTGGACATGTTTGAAAGTCCCCAAACAAACTGCATCTATTGTCAGGCTGGGACCCAAATAGTGAAATTGAACCCAAGGGCCTGCATGTAGAGAAAGCGATTTCAAGATGGAGCGAGCTCGCAGGGCAATGTCTGCCTTACCCTTTCCTCTCTCCTTTGTGGACCTGCAGGTGGTCCTGGTGACCGAGATGACATCTCTAAAGGTCGTGGGTCCCCTCTTGGTCCTGCTGTGCCCCCTAGGGGAGCAACTTGTAAAGGGCCAGAACCTGTCCCGGAAGGAGTTCATGAACCAGCACTACCTGAAGACAACTTTGGAATTCAGCCAGTACAAATGCGATGTCCTCATGCAGGAAAGAGAGCCCCTGAGAGGCAAGGACGCCCACGTCTTCCTCTATGCCCCATGGCACCAAATTGAGTATATTTGTCTCAAGACTTGGACAACAAGGTACAGAAACATGTATGTGTGGGCCCATCAACCTTTCAGGATACTGGAGTGTAAACGGCAGCCTTTCCAATCGAGCTACAAAGAGAATAGGAGCTACAGTCATGTTGAGTTCCACTGTAGCACGAAGGGTTATGTTGATAGTATAGAGGACGTGCGAGTGCTGCAGTTTATCGATATCTAGAGAGTTGACCCTGTGTCTAGGCTTTAGGAAATTAATCCACGCCCAAGTGGGGGGCCCTGCCTATACCAATCCTCACCCCTCTCCGCTTCATACGCCAGCGTTTGCAAACGACTTAGATGTATGCGTCTCACTGTTTCCTGGTACTGCAGCTCCACCTAAACTGGTTCTCTGCCTGAAATGCCAACTGTCCTGATGGGCCTGATTTGCTTCTACATTAATTTTTTGAGATTCAACTTACCTGCATCTCTTCCGGACTCACCGGGGACTCTTCCTAATAGGGAACCTTCTCATGCCACCCAAGTTGCACAATCTTTCCTTCCCCAAATAAATGATATCATTACAGCATTTGTGAAATTTGTATGTGCTGTGTCATTGTTAATGGGTGGTGCCAATGTGTGTTTGTGTGTGTGTGTGTGTGTGTGTGTGCAATGTAGATTGTGTTTAGATGTGATTTGTGCTGTGTGTAGGTTTAAGACGTATTATGTGTGGCCTAATGTATGTGATGTGCTTTAGGTTTAAGATGCGTGTGTGAATGTTTATGTGCGGAGCTGGGCACAAATAGTTACCAGGCATTTTGCTGGGCAATTGACATGATTATATTCTGAATTCCACTCAGATTGGGGGTGCAGGTGGGCAGAGCCAACTGAACAAAAAATATATATAGCAGATGGTTAGTCAAAATTGGTTTCCTTTTTATCAGTCTTTGGCTGTTTTCATTTCTAACTTTGATAAAACAAACATGACAAGTATCCCTCAATCATCTTTTCTCTCTGCCTTAATAGGGGAAAGATTTCTAATATATAAAAACAAAAAACAAAACAGTAGGCTGTAAGCTATTATCTGTGAAGAAGTTATAAACTTTCAGAGTCAAGAAGCCTTGACTCAAGTCCTCCCTCAATGCAAGAACCTTTGTTCTAACAACCTGGCATTCTGTGATGCTCACCTTCCCAACACGATCGCTGAAGACAAAGTGGGTCCATAAGTAAATGTGGTGAAGAAAGCTGAGGGTGCCCGGCTATCAAGAGATATAGCATCTGGAGGTCTTAAAGGCTGGAAGAGAAATAAACAGCCATCCAACAGAGAAGCAACAAAGCCCACATGGAAGAAGCATCCCAGCCGGTGTGTTCATGAGGTGTCCATGGGATCAGGTATTAGGCATCAAAGACTCAGAACAAAAAATCTTATCAATGTGAATGGGGGAGGGCAGAGTGGAGACCCAAAGCCCATCTGTAGACAATTGGACATCCCCTTACAGAAGGGTCACAAGGAAAAGATGAGCCAGTCAGGATGCAGTATAGCACCGATGAAACATACAATTTTCCTCTAGTTCTTTAATGCTCCTTCCCTCCCCCCAACTATCATGACCCTAATTCTACCTTACAAAACCAGCTAGACCAGAGGATGTACCCAGGTACAGATCAGAGCAGGAAACAAGGGGAATCCAGGACAGATAAACCCCCTCAGGACCAATAATGAGAGTAGCCATAGCAGGAGGGTACGGGGAGGGTGGGGGGAGAAAGGGAGAACCTACCATAATGTTCTACCTATAATCCCCTCCCAGGGGGGTGGACAACAGAAAAGTGGGTGAAGGGAGACATCGGTCAGTGTAAGACATGAAAAAAAGTATGAATTATCAAGGGTTCATGAGGGAAGGAAGATTGGGGAGGGAGGGAAAGATGAGGAGCTGATACCAAGGGCTCAAGTAGAAAGAAAATATTTTGAAAAGGATGATGGCAACCTATGAACAAATGTGCTTGACACAATGGATGGATGGATGGATGGATTGTGATAAGAGTTGTGCGAGCCCCCAATAAAATGATTTTTCAAAAAAAAGAAGAGACCTCTGTGTCCCCCTCACCCCCACGCCCCAGCAGCCACAGACTGGCAGCACTTTTTACAGTAGTGCTTCATTCAAACACCTCTCAGGATGCAAGTACATTTTAAATGGATGAAGGCATTATGCCTCCTGGGGACAAAAGACGTTAAGTAAAAGGTAGCTGCACAAATAAATTCATGTGATCATATCCATTTTCACTTGGGAGAGAAATAATGTAGGGTGGGGGTGTTTTAAAATGAAATACACGCTTCCACCCCCACAC